ATTGGAAGAAAAGAGGATTAGGGAAGAAAAGAGCCTTCAAGGACTTTTTACAGATAGGCCTATTTATAAAGTGTATGTATATTGTCGCGTCCCTTTGTCGCCTGAAGAAAAACAATCTCAAGAAAAAGGAGAGGGAAACCAAGAGGGATGGATCCATCCTTCGTATAGGTAAAAGACATAGAAAAAACTAAAGAAGAAAAAAACTTAGGAACCCAAGAGGAAACTACCCCGACCAGTGATAAGGCACAGGAGAAGAAAAAGAAAATGTAAATGTATTTTTTTTCATTCTGAATAAAAATTCCCTTGTTATTGTGTATTAGTGTTCTTTGTTTTCAGAAAATCCAGGTTTGTTATTGTTTTGAGGAAATCCAGTTTGAACTGGTTAGGCTAGACTGTCTAGACTGTGAAGCGTGACGTCATAATGACATTCTTGAAACGCTGCCAAAAACGTAGTAGCAGCGTTGTGAATCGTAGTAGCAGCGTATATAGTATAATGTAAACACAGTGTAAACACCCCAGTCTAGGGAGCTATGTAATGAATTGACCAGGCTATCCCAGCCCCCAATCTGTACTCTCTTGACCAGGCTATCCCCCAAGGGGCTGTACTCAGTTGACCCGGCTATCCCCCCAGCCCCCAAAAGTGCACTTAGTTGACCCGGCCAACCAGACGGCTTATACTACTAACGGCCTATGCCAAGGGGAAATAATTATGACCCCTGGGGGTAGGGCGGGGCCATAATGGCTGATCAAAGTTTTAAATAGGTATATATATAGGACATTTTTTTAAAATCTTATTTTCCAGAACCACTGGACCAGGAAAGATGAAACTCATGTGGAAGCAATCTAACGTTATGTAGATTCAAGTTTGTTCAAATCATGACCCCATGGGGGAAGGGTTTGGCCATAATTGCTGATCAAAGTTTTTCATAGGAATATAAAGGAAAAATCATTAGAAAATTTTTCCCCAAAACCACTGGGCCAGGAAAGGTGAAACTAACAGTGGAGCATTCTCAGTTAGTGTAGATTCAAATTTGTTCAAGTCATGACCCCCCGAGGATAGGGCGGGGCCACAATGGCTGATCAAAGTTAAATATGTTTGTGTTTTTGAACTAGCCCATGTGCTCAGGTGAGCGATGGGGCCCATTGGCCTCTTGTATTTTATTGATGTAGTAATAAAAAAGGGTCAATGAGGCACCCTTAGAAGAGATGAGGGAGGGCTTGAGAACCAAGAAATTAGTTTTAATGGCCTTAAGCGTTATTACTGTTGTATATGCATTGCATGGAGTGTAAAAGAGAACAAATAATTTCTTCACTCTGGAAACAAGACGCCCTTATTTCCTCCGAGATAGATTTTTTTTCGAATTTTCAAAAAATGGGCATCATGACCCTTCCTGACAAATATAATTATGTTTCTGTCTCTAAACATATATATAGCTGTTGTCGCAAACACTCTGCAAAATCAATGGGTAGAATTATTCTGTTCATGTGCTGTCCATGGGAACGCTCCGGAGCTATGATAGAAAAAAGGCAAGAAAGATTGCCCAGTTGTTCTATATTTCTTTGAACATTTAGCCAGCATATATACAAGTTTGACTAATTTTAGTGAAATTTTCTTTAAAGATATAAGATATAATTTAAGCTTCAACAAACACTCCTAAGGCATTTTGGACCTGTGTTCTAAGCATGGGTTAATTGGGGTGTATTGGGTTTCTATAGTTGTTTTGTGTGATTGGGGCACTAGAGACAACAGATAACAGAAATATTCAATGGTTTTCAATACCGTAATCATGGGAATGGCGGACATGTCTAGGTGGTGAAAAACATACAATTTTAGAAAAATACGCATAGAATTGCTGCCAACAAAACAAATAGTTGTACCCATGACGTTCAACTACATGTATCTGTACATATACAATAAATGTCGTGTTATTGTTTTATTAGACCTGCAGCTGTGCAGTCCTGCAAGTGTATTATGCACATTGCTGCTGCAAGACATTGCAAGAGACAACCAAATTGAATGCATTTCAAGACAGCTTAGCAACAGAAGGTGCCATGGGTCATGTTTTATGAAAAAGCAAGAAGTATTTATTAAGATATTGAGAATTTTATCTTATACGAGTTTCACTTGGTTGAACACAAAAGCAAACCCTTAAGCAACGGAGGGATGTAATATGTATATTTCAAAGCAACGACATTATAAACTTAATGTTCTTATGCCAATTTTTAATACTATTTTTATATGTAATGATAACCGATTCACTATTTTCCCACGTTTTTATCATGTGATTCTTAAGTGTATTAATATCTGAACCATGCATGCAGTCTCCATTAAACAGTAAATCACACGTGTTTTCACTCCAATATCCTTTAAAACTAGGATACCATAGGCAGGCTATGTAAAAAAAAAACAAGCATTCTGAAAGTATTGCATTAGCAAGACTATTCCCCTCCCGGCAAGAGTAAGCTGTTTCCCACTAAAAATTAAAAAAAATACCATAATTCCATTAAAAATCATTGAAACAGAAAATTAAACTTGATCTATAACTCATGAAGGTTAAGTGACATACAAAAAATCAGCTCAATATCTGCAAGCGTTTATAAAAAAAAATGCGGTAAACCAAGTGGGACTGTATAACGGAAAGCTAGACAGACTCGTAAGAAATCTTTATCCCCTCCGATTAAACCGATCAAGTGCTAGTGTTTAGCATGTATACTTATATTATAGATTAATACATAATTCTTTTATATAAATATTACAAAAAACATTGCGATTTGACACGAATCATTCAATACAAATAAATAACTCGCATATTCTATTTGTTATTCAGAAAAATGGAGACCCGACCTTCGATCCTCTTTAAAATGCTTACTCCTCCAAGGCACCTGTTCCAAACTCTGATGATTTAGAGGTTCGAGTTTGCTCTGCTCCTATTTTGTATATTTTGGACTTTTAATCTTGAATACTGTTAGTTATCTCAAGATAGCAGACTTATTTTTGTATTCATATGATCTGATTATACAATCTATTGGAATTCCCATTGGTACAAATTGCGCTCCGTTATTAGCAGACCTATTTTTGTATTTCTATGAAGCAAAATTTGTTCAAAATTTTATGCGTAAAAAGAAGAAACATTTGATGAGCCTTCAACTCGAGATTTTGATATATCGACTACGTATTATCAATTAAAAATGGTTATTTCCAATATTATACTTTCATGTAAATTAGTTGAATATGACTGGTCGAGAAACATTTGTTAAAAAACACTATTACCCGCTGAATAATGAAGCCACGCCCTCCAGTGTAGCAATAGTCAACATTGCTTGACGACGGGTGGTATTCCAAAAAATAGCGACTGCGCAGAATTTATGCGCGCACGGTTCTCTGTAATATATATTTGTATAAAACATTCAGTATAATATGATAAATATGGCATGTAGTTGAGTGTAACATTGAACATTTTCACCCCTCGAAAACAATTGCGCCTCGGTTGACAATGGTCTTCTTGGGGTGAAAATTTTCAATGTTACACTCAACTACATGCAATATTTATATATTACTATGTCAATACGATATATCCTGGTAAGCTTGAGATAAAAGATACCACAGAGTCTGGCACATCTGTTTCACACTTCGATGTTTACTCGAAGCTAATGGAAATTGTCCAAAAGTTCTTTGGAATTGTTGAGTATCCACATCGAGGTTCGTATTTTGGGGTTACACACGTGTCCCCGTTGGTATAGTGAAAACATGTCACGTGACCTTTCCAGAATTGAACATTACATTGAGATATATTCTCTTTCTTGTTTTATGTCCGTTTTTTTTTTTAAGGTTGAATTACATTTTTTTCGTTACTAGGGCGGGTATGATCTTCAGCCAGTCTGTCAAATATTCATGTCTATCATCTGGGTAACAGATGTATGACTGACTTCGCGATTTATAAAGGGTAAACTGCCATGTTATTTTATTTCTCATAAACTAAGTTGAAATAAGCTTTATACCTTATTATTTAATTTCAATGCAGACAAAGTCCACTCATAGTCCACTCCAAAAAATCTTATGTGTCATTGGCTTCTTTACGATTTTGATATTTTACATGCCAGAAAAACGTCAGAACCGACGTCATTATGGAAATCGCAGTCTCCAACCGGAGGCGGCATTCTTGAGTTGATTTAAATTTAGATACTTGCGAATCGAATTGATTTGCACTTTTTTCAAGGGGAGAGGGGGCATATACTTCTCTAATTGTCGATTATAATTTTCTCATTAGATCAATGAGCTACAGATAAGCAGTGTGGCAACACACTTTGAAAAAATTACGCACTTTGAAAAAAAAAATCAAAGTGCGTTAAAATTGGGACAAAATAAAAAAAAATATTTCAAAGTGCGTTAAATTTTTGACAGACTCAACGCACTTTCAAAAAAAAAAATTTCGAAGTGAGTTAAGAGTGTTCATTAACATTTTTACCAAGGGGAAATTTAACGCACTTTAAAAAAAAAATGTAGAAAACAAAAATTCTAGACTAAGATTTTAGTAATTGAGAGAATTAATTTGTAATGATTATATCTTTCGGAAAACCTTTAATTTACATGTACTGATTTAACTTCATTGAGAACAAGGGGATGATGAGCAGAAGGTCTCTCAGTCCAACTCTCTTTTTACATAGCTGACGGTAGCAAATTGAACGTGGACAACTTTCAATAAATAAATGCATGCAAACTGGAAAAAATTAAGAACAATAAAACATTTAAGAGAGAAAGAATTTTGAAATCATGAAGAAAGTATGGAAAAATCAAAATCGCTCATTTTCACATCCCGAAGTGACTTTTACAACGAAAAGTTATCCAACAGGTTCAATTATTTTTCATACCTAAGATTTGCAAGAATATCGACCATACACATATTTTTCAAAGTGCGTTAAGATGTTCGATATTAACGCACTTTGAAAAGAAATTTTATTTTTTCAAAGTGTGTTGATTTGGTCCCAAATTTAACGCACTTTGCAATTTTTAGGTCACCTGAGTAAACTCAGGTGACCTATTGCTATCTGTTTTCGTCCGTCGTCGTGCGTCGTGCGTCGTCCGTTAACATTTGAACATTTTCAGCTTCTTCTCTGCAACCACTGAACCAATTTCAACCAAATTTGGCACAAAGCATCTATGGGTGAAGGGAAACAAAAATTGTGAATTTCATGGTCCCTGCCCCCCTTGGGCCTGGGGGGTGGGGCAAAAACCACTAAAATTAATGCAATCTTTAAAAATCTTCTTTACTCCTGGACATCAAGAAGTTAAACTGTTTGCATGATTGTAACCAGCATTGAGTCCTCTACCAAAATTGTGAAATTTATGGCCCCAGGGTCAGGGGTTCTAGTGCTAGGGTGGGGCTAAATAAGTATATTGTGAAAATGCATTATTCCTTTGAAAATCTTCTTCTCTGCTCCTGGGTATTAAGTAAACTAACTAAGTGCATAGTTATGATGAGCAAGAGTGCCTCTACCAAAATTGTGAATTTTATGGCCCCAGGGTCAGGGGTTCTGGTGTTAGGGTGGGGCTCTATAGATTATATAGTGAAAATTCATGAATTCTGTGAAAATCTTCTTCTCTGCTCCTGAGTGTTAAATAAACTAACTAAGTGCATAGTTATGATGTGTAAGAGTGCCTCAACCAAAATTGTGAAATTTATGGCCCCAGGGTCAGGGGTTCTAGTGTTAGGGTGGGGCTCTATTGATTATATAATGGAAATACATGAATTCTTTGAAAAAATGTCTTTTCTGCTCCTAGGAATTAAATAAACTCAGTGCATAGTTATGATGAGCAAGAGTGCCTCTACCAAAATTGTGAATTTTATGGCCCTAGGGTCAGGGGTTCTAGTGATTGGGTGGGGCTCTATTGATTATATAGTGAAAATACATTAAATCTTTGAAAATTTTCTTCTCTGCTCTTGGGTATTAAGCAGATGAACTACCTATGTAGTTATGATGAGCAAGGACCCTAATCTTCCAGAATTGTGAATTTCAAGGCCCCAGGGTCAGGGGTACCATAGAGGGGGGGGGGTGTACTTATATACTGAAACTGGATGAATTTTTTGAGATCTGCTCCTTGCAATTGGTATTAATCAAATATTTTTGAAAAGCAAGGGTGCCTTTTCAAAAATTGTGCAATGTGTGGATCTAGGCCTAAGGGTCAGGGGTTCATGTGTGATAGGGGCATTACTGATTATTGCTGAATATTACTGATTACTTGAAATGCATTTTTTGTTCCCCCACCCTGCCTATGGGTATCAAGTAAACAAACTAAGCAACTGGTAAGTGTATTGTTATGATGATCAAATGGTGCCTCTTTCAAAATTGTGAATGCCATAGCATCTTGCTTAAAACATGAATCAAATTAAATCGCTGGAAAGTTGTTGCATAATGCTCAGGTGACCTATAAGGCCCATGGGCCTCTTGTTTTTTCAAAGTGCGTAATTGTTCAAAGTGCGTTGTAGCAAAGCAGTTATACGAAGTTTTATGTAAATACTTGTCTCGATCTTTCTTTTTTTGCTTAACTGGTTCACTTATATTTTTTGCCTGGCTTATTGCTTGAAGAACAATTGCCGGCTTATGTCAGCCTGTTCAAGGCAGGAAGTCCACCCCATAGTCGCCAAATTAAAGTAAGGCGTAAAAATATAGTATGTACTCTGAGCCGCTTTTAGACTATAGATAAAGCAACAAAAATAAAAGGAACTTTTATCTATACAAATAAAAATCAGCCTTAATAACTGAAAACTCCAGTCCTAAGTCAAGCAACAGTGTTTATTTGCCTAAGGTTTTTGATTGTCGGTGTTATCTTTGCCTAGTTCTCTACAGAGATGAAGAAAATGTAAACCTATAGGGTTTAGCACAGACATATTGTTTGAACATTTTAAACTTAGACAATATTAATATCATAATCATTTTTAGTTATTAGTAGTGAAAGTAAAATGATATAAAGGATTATTAAATCAGAATGTATATTTTTAGTGACTCAAAATTGGTGACTTTATAATTGGAAAAAGTACTTTAATTTTGTACACTATTATTATCTTGTTAAAACAAATTGGATTTTGTTGTTGTTCCGATGCACTATAATTTTGTAAATCACTTTGTAATGAAATTGATCCGAATAGACCAATCAAGCCCATCGATAGTAAGTAATAAAATTTGAACGGAAATGCTTGGGTATCATTAAGAGTTTTGACTTAGAGCAATAAAATTGGGAACTTTGAAGTAAATAAGTAAAAGAGCTTAAGGCTAGAACTCCTGTGGTGCAGATATGGGGACTGAGCCCATAAATATTAGTAACATGTATTTAACTGCATTTGAGGGTGGTGCCATGTTGGGGTTCATAGGTTAACGGACAGACCTACGGACAAAGCGTAGGTGTTTGGTGATGGTGAATTGTATTTAATTTCTAAACAAAATGCAAACTCATTTTTTTCTTTTATTCGAAAAAGGAAACAAAATAGAATCAAAAGTAACTGTTATCAGAGAATAGTTTTAGACATCTTTTTATTACTTACTAAAAAAATACTATGTGATTTTAAACCCATAGGCATTCAAAATTAGGCAATTGCTTTCGAAAAGCAAGAATGTCGCCAGCGTGGCGCAGTGATTATAGAGCGTCTTCTCTAGAATCGCGGAGTAAGGATTGCGTCCGAATCACACTGTGGGACGTGGAGACCTGTCCTTCGGATGAGATCATATAAACCTAGGTCCCGTGTTGCAGTAGGTGTTTGCACGAAAAAGATCTCTCACTGCCCAATGGCCTTAAGTGCCAAGTGTAGGATAAAATTTGCATCTCTCCACCTGCAATTGGTTGCGTCTCCATATGAGTGAAAATTTTTAGAGAGGGACGTTAAACAATATACAAACAAAGATAAAAAAAATTGCGCTGTTATTATTTTATCATTTGTCGCCGGCATGGCGCATTAGAAAGAGCCTCTGCTCTAGCGTCGTGGAGTAAGGATTTGATTCTTTTTTCGTCGGGTTGAATCCTACCGTGGGACGTGGAGAAAGGTTCTCTGGATGAGTCCATATAAACCGAGATCCAGTGTCGCAGTAGATGCTGTCACGAAAAAGATTCTTCATTGATCAAAGGCCTTGATGAGTGCTGAGCAAAGGTCAAAATTTGCAGGTCTCCACCGGCAAATGGTAGCGTAAAATCCATATTACATAATTAGTGAAAAAGTCTCGAGAGGAACTGTATACAGCAAACAAATAGAATTCATATACATATTGTCCCCTATACTATTTTATTGTGATTATTCCCTATTTTTTGTGAAAAATTTCACTCAATTGTCCTCCATTGAGGTTTTAGAATAATTTTATAAACGCGTCCTTTCTTTTATTATGATAAGGTACATGTATACATACGTCATTCACAAATATTTTTTGTATTGTTATGATTTATACAGGAATGTCCCCTATTTAATAAAACTAAAGCAAGGAAAAATGTTTTTTTTTTTCAAAACGATGTGAGATGTGTTATTATATCCGCTAACTGCACTTGAGCAACTACGTTCTGTAGATTGAAAAAAAAATAAAATCAACTTTCGCATAGTGCACCGTCATCGTGTGGCCAGTAGGAATTTTCAGGTTTTCTTTTTTTGTTTCAATACTGTTCCTTATCTCCATATCCTTTATGTATTCGATACTTATATTCACGTTCTCTAATTTTCAATTTTTATAATTGTTTATTTCGTTTATCTTTATTGTGAATTTAGCGCCCTTCGGTATTGGTGTGCTTAATAGAGGTAGCAGCCGTTTGTGACGTTTGAACGTTAAGTAACGCAACTGAGCATTGCGTGGGGAAAAAACAAAAAAATTCATTTAATTTAACAGGGTAGTTGTTTTTTTTGTTTTTTTTAATTTTAATTGAATGGAAAAAGTATACATTTATGTGTTCCTAAATATTGAAAATGCATCGTACTGAGTGTGTAATTACCGCGCGGTGACAAGGTTTAGCATGTATTATATAGATTTGAGCGTCGTAGATTTCTAATGGATTTCATAAAGAAAATTACACTGAATGTTGATATTTAATTATAATGGGTTTATGTTGTTCTAATATGATGATAATTTTTTGTTAAATGTTTGATGTTTTTTAAACAGATGACATTACATTTCGTCGGGGAAATATCAAGATTCAAACAAATAGCCAGAATTCTTTTCGTGTGGGAGATGTTGTGGAGCTAGAGTTTAATGGTGACGTTGAAGGGATAATTAGCTTAACAGAGGTACGTCAAAATATTATGTATATAAATGTTTCTAATCTTTTGACAACATATTCAAGTAGATAATAGGAATGGCGAATATGCAATGTTTCTGGCCAAAAAATCCTGCAGTAAAAATAATTTCACATGTTTTTATTACATTACACATGTACAGTGACTCATTCCAAATTCTTAAAACAAGAAACCAATGGGCCACAACGCCAACTTTTCTTACCTCAGCAGATTTTTAAAAACATATTTCTATGTAAAACTTTGGTCTCCTTTCTTTACCCCAACCTTGGTTAATAAGAAGCTTTTATTTCTATCTGACTGAGTAGTTGTAGAGAAGATTTTTTGAAAAAAAAAATTGTTCGATTGAACTATATTCAATTAAACCCAAGGATGTGGTAGTATTTTGATAAGAAAAATGGAAATGCAAGTTTTTACATTCAATACAAACAACGTTAATTTATTCCGCTGTTTTGAAAACAACAGTAGTGACAGAAAGTGTTGATTATTTGTTTGTTTGTTTGTTTGTTTGAAGTCCCTTTGAGAAATTTTCACTCATTTTATAACCCCACGACTTGCCAATAGAGGGAGGCCAATTAATTAAGAATTGTATTCGGTACTTTCTGCCATTGAGAAGTAAAGATTCTTTTTCGTCCCAACACCTACTGTCACACGGGACACAATATCTTCGTGTCGCTGTGAGATTCGATCTCACGACTGTAAAGCAAACGTTATTCATTATAAAAGTTTAACGCTTGGTACTTTGAAACATACACTTTACACTAGAGATTTTAATGCAAGTTTTTCTTGATAATAAAACACAAAAAAATAAAAGTCTTCTTTGGAAGTACATATCGATAATTTTACAAGTTCAGAGCATACATGATACAGTAAAGGAATAGATATTGAACACCTAAAACAAAATTCTCTCAAGTAACCGTTTTTATCTTCATCATCTTTCAACCACAGTCCCACTGGGACATCATTACTTGTGTCAATATAGTTGTCAATAAAGACCTTAAATCGACCATTCTAAAAGTTCCTAAATATCAGAAATCCCAATCTTTCACTTTGTGACAGAACTTCATAGAATAAATAGGGTGAAAACCAAAAAATACTCAATTTCCAACACATAATTCTTTTTTTCTTTCCTTGACATTATTATATCAAATATAAGTCATAACTTATATTATAACCGCTCTTTTATATATATGTATATATATTTACTTTTAAAGAGTGTAAAGTGGTGCAAGAGAACAGAGGGAGAATTTCGTCCGATCAGCTTACAGGATGCACCTATGATCACTTTAGTACCTATCGGCGGAATATATTGCTCTCAAATTTCTCGAATTTTTTATCACATTGCACAAAATGACACTGACCTTGAAATCATGTGTGATTTGGATTTTTGGTTAAAAAACAAAAATAGATGCGCCGGGGGATATAATTCTCCAAAACTCATGATAAATACAAGCATTGAAGGTAAGATGAAGTCTAAATTTTATTCAAAGTATTTACTTCTGCAATAATTTAATTCTGGTTGTAACGCTGTATTTGATTGGATAAAAAATTTACTTCATATCGTATAAAATGGGTTGCCTACGTCACAATGACTTGCGTCAAAAACGTATCAATCCACCTGACGTTACATTCAAATTTTGTGCAGTTTGAAGTCATTTTGTTAGAACAATCATCTTTTGTTTCTTACATTAAATGAATGAAAATTAAATTATAAGCAATGAATTTAATAGCTACCCATTTTATACGGTATAAACTGGTTGGAACAGTTCACGCTTTTTTATAAACCGCTTCGCGGTTTATAAAGCGTAAACTGCCCCAACCCAGTTTATACCGTATAAAATGGGTAGCTCTTAAATTCATTCCTTAAATATAACTATTTTTATGATTGCGTGAATCATTTATCATATATTATTATACTTCTATTAAAATGTTTCCTATATAAAGTTCAGAGGCTAAAATAGATATTTTTTATAGTCTTAAAATTTCCATGCATAAAAAGCTATACCCCGGGGTATAGTTTTTGCTACCCAGCCCTCAGAAAATTTTCATGCAATTTTTGCCGCCAATTTTAATTTGCAGCGTTAAATCCATATAGTCTGATGATGTCATAATGACTTCAGTAGCATTTTGACGTCATCAGGATTTCAGCTTATTCTTGCGGTATTATCTAACTCCAAAGAAAATTTGAACCTTAGAAATTATAATATACATCAGTATAATAAAACACTTATCCACTGGTTGTGAGTGGGATAGCTCTTTCATCAAACCCTTGACAGGAACTATTCCCTTCGGGCAAGCCCTCGGGGAATAGTTCCCTGTCGCGGGTTTGATAAAAGAGCTATCCCACTCACAACCCATGGATAATTGTATATCAAAAATAACTTGAATAGTGAAATATTTCATACAGATAATGAATGGAGAATATCACAGATTATAATATACGACAAATTTGGTGTCATCAATCCTAACAATTTCAGCATAGAGGGAACTGGTAGGACGATTCATCTACTGTGTGTGGCTTCTGCTTTATCGACTACAAAAGCGCCGGTAGTTGCTTTTTCTTAGTCTCTTATGTGTTATGATATACCAGTACTGTATGTTATTGAATTTTTTTAGGAAATGGAAATTTCATTTTTAAGATAATCCAACATACCCCAAAAATGGACACAATGAAATATACATGTGCCTTTTTTGTTGTCCAAAAAAAGATAAATGAAATTTCTTTTTTGACCGTAGAATTTCATTGCATATTTTCTGAGTTGCTGATGTTGCTTCTTTTGTATATATTCTTTATATTCTAGAAATTAAAGATTCTGGGCTCTATAGTTTTTGCCCTGCCCAACCGTACCCCTGTCTGTTTGGTTTTTGTCTGTATGTCCGCAAGAACTTTAAATTTAACCTTGATCAAAACTTTTGATGATTAAACTTAGTATAAGTATTGCACATCTTAATTTCTTTGACAATTAAGACATATCTTTTAGTACCAACATGTTTGGACTCTTACTTTTGCATTTGTAGATTGACCTTATTTATTGGTATTGATGCTACCTAAAAGGTATTTCATACTTTACAAGAGTATTCATTGAGAAAAAAAATAAGTTTTAATATTTTTACCTTTTGACCTTTACCTTAGTGTTTGTCCGACTTTAGGAATTGCTTAGTCTTAGCCATAATTCTTCAACATTTAGCATTAGAACTTCCCGTTTTACAGGTGTATTTTACAGGACGTGACCTTCCTTTCCATACTAACAATTTTGAGTTTCACCTTGGAGTTTGATCTCTTAAAAAGAATTAACCTTGTCAATAATTTTCGCAAAGTTGGTGCTAATTCTTTACATCTGTATTTTTGTTACCTTCAGTTCTTCTGGATACCTTTAAATTTGGCTTATGTCCATCTTTAAAAAAATGGCCATAATTTTTAAACGGTTTTCGCTTCGGCTTTCATATTCATATTTATCGAGACAAGTCCTTTCTTTGGGTAACAACATTTTTAATTTCTTGACTTTGAATTCAACCACTTTTGCAACAGCTTACCAAACTTCCTTGGCCGTAGCTTTTGAATACTTGGTGCTAGGGCTTTCATGTTTCACAAGTGTATTCATAGGGACAGAACTTTCTTTTGGATACCAACAGATTTTATCTTTTGACCTAGAAAATTAAAACACTTTTGAAAAAGTTAAACCTTGGCAGTGCCTTTATGTTTCATATAGGTATTTCTTGTTTATAAGGCGCTTTTAAAAAACGTAGAAAAATAAGTTCAAAATGGTTGGTGCTAGGGCATACGTTTTCCATAGGTATATTCATTAAGTTTCTTTGAATAACAACAATTTTAATTTCGTGACCTTGACCTTGTTGTTTACTCGCTTTGAGAAACTTTGACCTTCTCTATAAGCAGCAAATCGCGGGCATCAGTGTTACACAGACACATCTTGCTATTAAAGGTGATGAACTGGTGTGTCAGAAAGAAGGACCATGTCACCTGGAGCAAAATTGTTCTTCAAGAAGAAGAAATAAAAGCTTTTGGGAATAATTCCGTGGAAGCTCTGAAATTCAGCAGGATAACTTACCATATCACACAATATGACAAAGTAGTTCAGTTCCTCTGTGAAATTTCTGCATCATCTTTGAACTCGTGTGGTTCTGGATTAAATTTGGTAAACGTTACAATTTCGAAAAACGAAGGTATGTTTTGAATGACAAGGTTTTTAAATACAATTTAAAGGTAGAACAATCAATTTCTGTAAGATTGCCTTATAAATTTGATAAATAACTGAAAAAAAATAAAATAAAATATCTTAACACTTAAATAACTTTTCTGCATGTATAATACTTTTTATCTCTTCTAGACAAAATTCAAGAAAGAATAGATATTACTGAAACGCAAGAGCCTATAATCACTAGTACCACAGTATTGCCGCTGGAATCAACTGAACATCAAGGCAGAACATATATTACTGAAACGCAAGATCCTAAAATCACTAGTACCACAGTATTGCCGCTGGAATCAACTGAACATCAGGGCATCAGTACTGTGTCAGTTTTGGCTGCCTTGTCAGTACTTTTGTTTGTCCTACTTACAGTAATAGTTCTGTTAGTGATTACAGCGTGCCGAAGAGGAAAATTTACATTCCTCGGTAAACTTTCATTATTTGTTCATTGACTTTCATTAACTTGACATGTTTCGGATCATTCAAATTGGTCTCCATTTAAAAATTAACATGCTTATAATTTATGCATATTTTTCTCCTTTTTAGGTTTTATAATTAAGATTAAACGGTAGGTATTTTCAAATAAAATTAGAGACTTGAGAAAGAAATAAAGCTCATTATTCCCTGAAACTTCAAGAGGTTGGATCAGGTGCAGAGGAGGAGTAAGCACCGCCTGTTTACTGCTCTCATCCGCCGTGGGCCCTATGTTTTGATCGGGTTGACGGAACATTCCGTAGTCAAATTCAATGTATACAAACAAAGGCCTAGGGATTGGTATGAACAGGTCAGCCAAAACACGACACAATGATTATTCTTATTGGCTAAGAAAATCATAATACTGACCTTAGAGTTTACTTAATGTCGAATTTGAACGAGGTTATTGAATTCCTGTAAAATCAATTTATTTGTCAGAAGTAAAATGTTAGGATATCTTTTAAACATTGGATTATCAATGGGTTTTTTTTCATTTTACCTGATAATGAACACACGGCGAGTGTGATCGGTTGACGATGGATAATTAGTGACATATATATGGCATGTGATTCAGGTCCGTGCATACTTGCTCCCAATCTGTATTTATAAATTGACTCTTGATTTTGATAACTGTTTGTTTTCTCGAAATTTTATCTCATTCAGTGTGGATATTTGTCCTTGCCTTTTAGTCCCCATTCTTCATTTTTTCATTAGAGGAAAATTCATAAATTCGTAGGGATAAGATTTCTAGGAAAAAAGTTTAAAAAAATATTTTTTTACACTGCTTTTTATCCATTGTCTGCATTCCATGAAAATTAAGAAAACTACAACTTCTCTTGAAACTTTTAACTCAAAGTTATTTTAAGGTTATAGAGGGATTTGGATTGAAAAGCTTTTACTCAAAGTATTACAATTTTAAACTCGGCATTGAGATATATCGACGACGAATTGTCAATTAACAACGGTACTTTCCATTCTTATGTCGATACTATATATGATGGTGAGCTTGAGACAAATGATACCACAGAGTTTGACCCAACTGTTTCATATCTGGATATCTAACTTGCAAAAGACATTAATGGTAATCTAACAGCCGAGCTCTAAGATAAACGTGATGACTTTAACTTTCAATTGTCAACTTCCCTTGCTTATTCAGGATTATATCTTTATCACCTGTATACAGAGTTTATATATCTCAGTTGATTCGATACGCATTAACATGCTTTAAGTATGAAAAATTTCTAAAATGAGATAAATTATTAACAAACAAGTTGATGAAACAAGAATATCAGCATTATCGTAAAGCCAAAATTTCATAAGTTCTATGTCAATACAATGACCTTGTCAGCATATAAAATTTATAATTAATTCAAATGCTGACTAGCGTTATTCAAACTAATTGTTAGTCCATTATTAATACACTGAATTGACGGCTGATTTTACTGTTATTTCTCGATCATGACAAGGAGCACTCGGCAGGTGTGACCGGTCAGCAGGGGATGCTCACTCCTCCATAGCACCTGATCCCACTTCTAATGTTTTGGAGGTCTGTGTTTGCTCTGGTGCTATTTTGAATTGTTTTTTTTTCTGGATTTTTGATCTAGAATACTGTTGGTTATCCCCATGTTTCATTTAAATACATAACTGTTTTATTGAATTGATTAAGGGGACTGAAGAAGTTTTAAACATAATCTTATATATTTTTCAGAGAAAAAAAGGACACCGGAGATGAAAAGGGGAATGAAAATAAAACAGATATTTGTAAGTAAATTGAAGCCTTCATTGAAAATGCAGGATTACATGTTTTTAATCAATGTCAGAATTAGGTAAATTTAAATGTATATTTTTTGACATCTTTGTTTATTGGGGAGTGTCCAAAGAGCGATAGACAATTGCATTACAATGCAATCAATCAAATGTCTCTAAAATAGTGAATTATTAAATCCTCTAAAGGAACATTGCTCGTAAAAGGAACATTAAAAAAATGTCGATATGACCTGTCCGTACGTATTCAAAATCCTGGATAATTTACGTATATAACTCTTGTAATTTATTTCTATAATAACATAATTTAGTCAATATCATATTCAAACATATCAATCAATTAAGACACAATACCTTAAAAAAATCAATTTTTAACGTTTATGATACCGGAGATAGAGGAGTGCTGACACAATTTTCAAAGGTACATCAATAGATTTTGCTGCAAAAATTGATATGATTATGGATTATCCTAGTAAGAGACAAAACAAATTCAAAAGTTAAAAAAAAAACCTATAACATTAGGATAGACATTGTTTGTATATGGCATAATAAATTCAGGACAGTTTCACTTCAGCTGCCAAAATAAGACGTCCCGAGTCACAATCATTTAATTCAGATTTAGGAACGTTAGGGATTATGGACAATGTAATGTTCTCTGTAAGAAACTAAATTTGAATGGAATTACAGAAAAGACCAAATTTATTGTTATTGCTTTCCTGACACAAATGTGGTTTTCCAAAGTATTGTAAATCATCTATGAGACGCCCAAAGCTTTATTGAAACACCCTCTTAGATATTGTGTAATAATATTCTTTGCTTTTACATATGTCTATACGGTAAAGTGGCTATCAATAAATTATTTTCATATTTATTCCAGCACTTCAAAAAGAAAGGAGGTTCGTATTTAATGCACAATTAATTGCTGATTTAATCCTTGTAATGTTCCATTTTTTATTTATTTTACTGTACTTGCATTCGCCCTATCCAGAGTATCTCTTGCAACAAATCAGTAACATTTGAATATAAATGAAATATTGATAAAAATTGCAATATTACTCTAGTTGAGATATGAAGTATTGAATAACCTTTTTATTACTGACAAGAACTTGATAATTAGTAAGGTATCTGTTGTCCTACTGTCTGATAGTCTCAAAAATAAATTACATGTTTCTTCATATTTTTTGGTCCAATTTCCCTAAAAGTTGATTCGCAAGTAAAAGCTTAATATTGCTTTACCTAGAAAAAGGTCAGTTTTATGTATGATTACATAATAAAAAAGAAATAGAGCATATCTCGTAAAATTTCACTTTTCTTGTAAGTTTGTAAGTTTCAACTCAACCAATGCCGTGGCTTTAATAAACCGAAAAAACCAAAACTAAAGACGTAGAAAACTTTTCTCTTCCACTACTGTAGGAACAATCCAGTAGATAATGTCAACAGTTTTCTAATTGTTTTATTTATTTTCAACTGAAGGGCCATGCTATTTTTCAAGAGGGGGTAATTCAAAAAAGTCAAAAGTAGGTGTCTTCTTCTCAAGAACCTTTTGTCCAACGGTTGAAACCAAGAAAAACCTTCCATAAGTAGTGTAAGTTCAGGTTTGTTCAAATAATGAATCCCCGGGGGGAATGGTGGGAGTGGGTGGGGTCACAAGGGGAGATCAGAGTTTTACATAGGAATGCATAGGAAACAATCATAAAAAAAATCAATTGGTCAAGAAATTAAAGCCATTATTATTGCAGCCCGGAGGACCGGGCTGCTCTATACATATAAGTTTAAGTGTTGGTGTATGGTGATTGGGGTGGGAGAAGTTATTCAGAATTAAAGGTTTTCTAAACATTGAAAATATTGTTAATCAGAATGTTCTTTCCCTCTCTAAATTAAGAGATACACAATATATTTACTTATATAAAATGTATATGTAAAAATAAATATGTTTTACATGTTTAATATATAAAGTTGCTTATCATATACTATCGAAAAAAAACGACAGATCCCTTTTTTTTAGAATATCGAATTTTACTTCTCGCATAAAAACGCACTCTGCATAGTTCCTATTTTATATTCTAAAATTGAAAATTAATACATTTTTGAATATAGGTGATACATGTGTCTAACTTCAATTTATATTTTATGCAGTCAACATTTACATGAGGAATTGATCAAGTTTAAAATGGTATCGTTTTTGTTTGATTTTTATCCGACTGTAAGTTTTCAAAATACTCGCGACTATCGTCGCCATCAATTAGACGCATGCCGTTTCACACATACCAAAGCGGTTCGATGATCAAGACTCATTTCCATTGCTTACTTTATATATTTCCCGAGCGACAATTGATGGTTACATCTATGTTTACTTGTACATACTGATATGAATGCATACTCAGGTAGTGTAGATTCAAATTTGTTCAAATCATGACCCCTCGGGAATGGATAGGGCCAAAAATGGAGATCAATGTTTTACATAAGAATATATAGGAAAAAATATTTCTTAAGACCAACAAAGCCATGATTACTCATAATAATATGGAAGTATCCTCATGTAGTGTGAATTCATGTGAGCAATGAGGCCCATAGGCTTCTTCTATCTACTCTTCTTCTTCTGCAGCTATTTAAATACTTATTTTTCAAGCCATGTTCAAATTTATGTCATATCTTTACATTTCAAATGAGAGGGGGTTAGAATTATTACCTTTGTCAATTGATGCATTTTGGGACCATGGCCCATGTTAACAAAAAACTCGCAATTTTACATAATATCTCAATATTTCTGATGATGAAAATTAAATTCTTGTCTGCTCTGGCATTTTGGGTCTTTGGTGGTATTTCATCCAAATAGTAAGTCACGTTGACATACTTTTAGAATTCCATAGCTAAATCTAAATAATAACTAGTTATTCAGATTGGAATTGGTCAGTTGATGCAAATTGGGTCTTTAGAATTTTTCAATTAAAAGATCACCTTGACCTTCCTTTGAATCTTAAGGCAATAACTGTTTATTTCAAAAATTGGAGGCTTCGAGTCATATGCCTCTGTCAGTTGAAGCATCTTTTAGTCTTTGGTTGGTGCCAGCCAAAATGTGAGTCATCCAGAACTGCATTTGGAGTCTTGGGAGTATAATTTGATATTACATTTACATCGACTAAAGACCATCATCCTTTTTAAATAGAAGCATCCGGGGCCCTCAAAATGTATCCAAAAAAAAGTACGTCTGAAATTTCAAGGCAAAATTTATATGGTTTTAAAAGTTAACAAACGAGCTATTCTTTACCTTTGACACCCTTTTATAGATTGTCCTGATATAAATAAAATAATATAATTTTTTTTTAAATTCCTCACTAATTATATGGACGGTGCATTCATTCTCATGATTTTTTTCTTTTTTTTAAATTAAAATTACAATAGGTCAATAACATAACATTTTACATGTATAAATATTAACAACATATCAGATATTAGTATCAGACAAAAAAAAATCAGATAATTCATGATATAGATTACTTCTGATCTAACCTTTCTTCCTAAGAACATCATTATGAAATAATGCATATATTTCAGTCTGTGTAGGGAATTTTTCACAGAAAATTTCTCACTCTGAAATCTACATTTCATTTACATTTATGCGTAGAAAAAAAACTAATAAATGCTATTAAATTATTTGAAAAAAAAAAAAATTTCATGCTTGAGTTTAAATTATTAAAGTGATCATATATTTTTGTACAATTGAAAAATATTCTTTCCAGGAAAAACAAAGACAGTTCAAAAATTAATATTGGTTTTGAAAGACAAAGTATTTACGAAAATGAGGATTTGAAGAATGAAAATGATGCTTCGACTGTAAAAACAGATAACGAATCGTGAGTTACACTTCTCATAAAAAAAATTAAAATATTGTATTTTGAATAAATCTTAAAATATAACATGTGTATGTGCAAGCAGGGTAGGGTGATACTATAGAATAAGATATTACATTTGAAAATACCCTGTTTAAGGATTGCCCACTTTAAGCCATAGATACTTTTTCCAGGTCTAAATATGAAGAGCTGAAAATAAGAGATAATCAACAGGAGTATGAGGAACTGAATTTATAGTAAAAAAAATTGCATCAATTGCAAGATGATTCATTGATTGATTGTTTGTTGTCAAACAAGATGAAGGACATTGACAAATACGGTTATGATAATAAGATATGTAATTTTGACTTATTTATCTTGAATGGTTGCCATTGATTATATGTATATATATGCATATTTCAGCAATTAACAAAAAAGTGTCTTGAAAAAGTGGTTTATTAATTTTTGTTCACGGCTTTTGCGGATTAAGTGTAGTAAAATAGTCGTTTGAAGTATTTGTTATGTATATGTTTAATTAACGACTACGTTTTGATTTAAACAACGGTCGTAATTTCTTATGGATTTACAATAATGTAGGTTTATAGTATGGCAAGACATTTGTTACATTTATATATTTTGTTTGAGTTGCATTGAGTTGTTTGTATCATTAGATTACATTATAATAAATTCTACAAATTTTTGCAGATATATATCTTGCTTACTTTATAATATGTACATTTCTATACATTTTATTAAATATTTTACTTGATTTTTTTTTTTTGCTAATTAAAATTGATATATCGGCAGCTGTCAAACATTCTGTTCAAAAGAAATCTTTTTTATCGTTTGCATTCTTTCATAATTAAAAATAATTTTAAACTTAAAAATGAAAGATAATTTAACCCACAGGATAAGCGTATTATGATTTATGTGAGCATCGCAATCGTTTAAAATGAACAAGCCATATGAGTTTTTGTTTTGAACATATTTTATTGTATAAACAAAAGGATTGGAAACAAGTTCTTTCAACTTACGAGTTCCTCTCCTTAATTATAACTATATGTCATGCAATTGAAATACATGTAGTACATTGAGATATAAATACAAAAGAGATACAAGTGAAATATTTGTTCAGAAATATAACAATTTAAAATCTACAAGATTCGTCAATAAATTTATGCACAGCAGCAAAAATATATGTGTTCCTAGCGTTTGGATAATTTCTGCAGGCAAAAAAGAAATGATAAACATCTTCATACTTTCCACATGAACATAAAGGGCTATTAATAATATTTCTTTTGTGTAAATCATAATTAAGTATACAGTTGTGTCTAAGTTTAGTATGGATTATATTTGTATAACGTTTGCCAAATGAAAAATAGATTGGGGGATTTTTTACTTCTGTAGTTAAGTTTTTTCGAAACGCATTGAGTGAGATAGCTTCCCTTGTTTCTGTCTTTAATAAATTCCAATGTTTCACAGCGTCAGGAATAAAAGATCTTTTATATAATTCTAATCTGCATCTTGGGGCAACGTATTGTTCCTTATTACGGGTATTATATTTTGAAATGTTTTCGCGCTTGCTTGGAACAATGTCATTCAAATATTCAGGTACACTACCATTATGAATTTTGTACATCGTGGTCATTTTTGCATTATAGCGCCTAACTTTCAATGTTTCCCAGCCAGTTTCAGAGTAAAGTATTTCTCTTGACACAAAAATTGGAAGTCCGGTAACAATTCTAGCTGCAGATAATTGAACTCTTTCAAGCTTTTCGGCATCATTATTAGAGCAGCCATCCCAAACAATTGAAGCGTATTCGAGCGAGGGTCTGATAAATGTGACATACAATTTTGAAAGATGTGTCCTGCCGATCTTAAATTTAAGTTTTTTCAAAAGCCCAAGTTTCTTATAAGCATTGTTTACAATGCTATCTATGTATTCTGTCCAGCTAAGGTTTTGTGATAACAATAAACCTAAATGACGATGAACAGGGACACACTCCAATCTGTCACCTTTAAAAAATAATTTAGGCATAACAGAAATATTTTTCTTATTGAAAAAAATAACTTTCGTTTTGGAAGGGTTGAATTTTAGAAGCCACTGATTTGACCAAAGTTCCAGTATATGTAAATCATGATTTAAATTATATTCAATATCAAGTATGTTGTATGAAGAATGTTGAAGCGAATTGTCATCAGCAAAAAGTCTACACAATGTTAACATATTTACAGCAACATCATTTACATATATCAGAAATAAAAGGGGTCCTAAAACGGAACCTTGGGGTACACCTGCAAAAATATCTAGTTTTGATGATAAAAGATCTTTATACATAACTTTTTGTGACCTTTTACACAAATAACTAGAAAACCACTGCATAAGATCGCCTGATATACCGTAAGTTTATAATTTAAAAAGAAGTCCTTTATGCCAAACTCTGTCAAAAGCTTTTGAAAGATCGCAGAAGACCATACAACATGATTTACCTTCATCAATACTTTGAACAATACTATGATAGGTTTCTAGTAACTGGTAAACAGTTGAATGACCTGGTAAAAAACCCGCCTGATATCGGTAAAACAAATTGTTATAATGGAAATAATTGTACATATGTTTGAAAATAATTCTCTCCATAATTTTACTAATACAAGATAGTAACGACACAGGTCTATAATTAGAAACTAAGGAGGGGTCATCGTTTTTAAACAAAGGAATAACATGAGCAGTTTTCCAAAAAACCGGAAATTTTTTTTCTGATAGGGACCTATTAAACAGCAGTGTAAGTGGTTTAGCAACAGTGTAAATAGTGGATTTTAACATTTTGTGACTATTACAGTCAGGACCTA